CACCACACCCCACCCCACCCAACACCACACCCCAACCCACCCCACCCCCAAAGGCCTACATCGACTCGTTGAAGGAGCCCTTCTGCCTGGCGGAGCGCGCCATCCTTTTTGTGGTGGGCTTTGAGTTTGGCATCGGCGACCCGTACCCCCATGTCGCCAAGCAGCTGCGGGCGCTGGGGCTGTCAGATGAGGGCGACAGGAGCGCCAAGATCGAGGTGCAGCAGATGGCCTGGAACTTCCTGAGGGACAGGTGGGTGGTGCACAATGTGCACGTGCGCGCGCGCACGTGTGTGCGTGTGTGTGTGTATGTGTATTGCATGTGTTGGCTGGTGTGCATACATGGGCATGTGTGGTTGTATGTGTGTATAAGGGAGAGAGAGAGAGAGAGAGAGAGAGTGTGTGTGTGTGTGTGTGTGTGTGTGCGTGTGTGTGTAGTCACGCGCACGTGAGTGCGCTCGCGTGCGTTAATGTCATGTTCGTGCGTCCGCGCGTGCAGAACTCCTAGTGTGGAAGCAGGTGGGGCGGCACGACCCTGGATGCATGGACGCCGCGTCAGGCGGTGCTATTTGGGGTCGGAGCGGTCAACACCACCAAGGTCCACGGGCTCGGCATGGCCGGTTGCTGTGTGCCCCAACCCAGCAGCCATTTGGCCCGGCATCATGCCTGCATACCTCCCCCCTCTGCCATTGCTTTGCATGTGCACCTGTCTTCCGAGACGCCTCCCCTTCCCCCCCCCCCGGCCCTCCTGCCGCAGCCTCAACACCACGCTGTGCCTGCGCTACCCACCAGAGAAGATTGCCGCCACCGCGGTCTTCCTGTCGTTCCAGGTGAGGGCTGCCCGTGAAGCCCACCTCAAGTTTGAGTTGAGTTCGCCCCTTTTACAGAACGCCCTCGCCGTAGGCCTCTCGGCTTGCTGGGATTGTGGCGCCGCGACACGCTCCTGGTGCCAACGACCTCTTGCCTGCTCCGCCCGCGCGCGCGACCAGGTGTGCCGCCGGCCGCTGAGCTTGTCGGCGGAGCCGGACCCTTCCGCGGAGGAGGGGGAGGCGGTGGAGGCGCCGAGGACGTTCTGCGACGTGTGCAGCATACTGCCAAAGGAGGTCCTGGGTGAGCGGCGCACCCGCGGGGCCGGCCGGCGGGTGCCGCTTTCAGTCTGCATTGCGTCAACAGCAGGGAGGCGGGCTGGCGCGCAGTGCGTCCTTCGTCCCTGCCGGCAACTGGGCCGCGCGCGACTCCGGTGTCTGTTTGAACCTGACTCACCTTGCTCTGTCGCAGCCCACAATCAGCACCTCATAGCGCCTGACTCCCGGCCGCTATTCACCCGACCTGCAAATATCCCCCCCACACTCGCAGAGATTGGGAACGAGATCACGGCCAACTACATTGCTGCGCTCCGCCACGCGCCCGTGCCCCAGCTGTCGCCGCAGCCGGCCGCGTTGGGGCGCCGGCCTGTGGCGCTGCCCAACATCGAATCCTCTGTTTCTGGAGACAGGTGGATGCTGCAGCACAAGGCAGGCGGCGGCGGCAGCGGCGGGGGCGGCGCGGCGGTGGCGGCGGGCCACCAAAGGGTGGGCGTTGCCAATGGCGGGGCGCCGCCATCTGGGGCGTCCGAAGCCGCGGCGTCGGGCGCGGGCTGGCGCGGCGGCGGCTCGCAGGGCGGGGATGACGGCGGCGCGGCGGTGGCGGGCGGCGGCGCGGCGCGGCGGGCGGACTGCGGTGATCGGGAGCGGCGGTCACGTGACGGGATTGAAGCGCGCGCGGCCTGCGGGCCCAGCAGTTGGCAGCAGCGGGCGCGCGGCGGCAGCAGCGGCAACGGCGGCGCAGGGGGCCAGCTGCCATCTTCTGGGGACGCGCTCGGCACCGGGCGCGATGAGGGGAGTGCGGGCGCCGGCTTGGGGCGCGGAGGCCGCGGTGGCTGGGGGCCTGGCGGGGACAGCAGCCGGGCGGGCAAGCGGCCGTTGGGCGCGGGGGGCTGGGACGAGACGGGACTAGAGCCGGGGGTCAAGGCCCCCAGATCTGAGGGCGAGTGGCATGAGTGAGTCCTGACATGCGGGCTCACGCCATCCCTTGCACCTTTTCGCAGCTTCACCAATTTGCTTGTTTGTGGTTCGAGTGTTTCATTTCTCCTCAAGCACCCACCGCCGTGATGCAAGCGTGCGTGAGGGGTGGCTGCAACAACTGAAATTCGTAGTCAACTGAATCTGACCTTGCTAGGCGTGGCCACCACAGGCTTGCAGGCATACAGCGCTTTTGGCAGTGTACGTGTTCCCCACCACGACAGCAGAAAGGGATCTTGCTCGCCCTGATTTTAGTGCTGTTGGTGTCAAGCAAGCTGGATGACTCAGTAACTCGGCCAGCACGACACGAAAGGCCACTGTCTTATCAAATCCTTACAGGCTCCTTTTCACTCCTTAGCCCCAAGGACAACAGCAGGGAGGCCGCCTCCTTACACACTCCTTGACCCACAGATGAGGTGGACCTTTAAGATCGTCTGAGGTAAACCCTGATCTCTCGGCGCTGCGGCGGCTGCAGACCTGCCAGGCGTGGCGCAGCATCCGGGCCGTGCGCTTGTGTGCGCAGGTTGTATTCTGTCGCGATTGTTGGGTCTGAACATCGGCAGATGGCTACGGTTACAGGTGGGCAGGTGGATGCAGTTGCAAAGCGGAAGCCGCATCACATGGTGGGGCCCTTGGTGTTGACGGCTTGACGCAGCTCTCCTCAACGCCTGATCCCGCTGAAAACACCAGGCAGCCTTGCAGTGGCTGCCGCACAGGTCAACAGGTGACGCACCCAAAAAGGGCCAGCTAACACTGCCAGTATTGCAGGCGTGGGCTATTGCAGGCGTTCGCATTGTATAGGGAGTCTCCGGAGTGGCCAAGGAGGGTCCCCTGTCTTCAATCGAGCAGGCGCAGCGTGCCCAAGTAGCGCTTCAGCGCCTTCTGCAAGTCCTGTCGCTGGAAGTTTGAGGAGAACACCTGCGCCCCCTGGCGCGTCACCCTCATGGTGCAGTAGTGCTGCTCGTCACTGTCGTCGCCGTCGTCGTGTACAAGTACCGGTTGTGGAGGTTGATGCTGACAGCGTTCTTGTCGCACTCCTGCTTAAGCTTCTCGTCGGAGGCATGGACGATCATATTGGCCAGGCCCATCGAACAAACACCCACTGTCAGATCCGGAGTGCCTCCCGGTTTGCTTTGGTTTGTGCCGACATGAGCCCTCACCGCCGCCTGAGGACCACATACACGTACCAGCAAAGCAAATAATTAGATATTTTGTTTCACAGTGCCGCAAGTAGAAAGCTCCAACCCTGCCGGTGCGCCACCCTCACGATCGTTGCGAGCTTGCCGTCCCACCTCGTTGTGGTATGCAACTCACGTATTCACACACTTCTCATGCAGGCACTTCGAAGAGTAGGCCAGAAAGGCGTCTACAGCTCGTCCTTGGCGCCTCCGAGATCAGCATCGGTCTCGGCTCGCCAGGAGCAGCCTTTCGTCTTTGTTCCCCCCCACGCGACATCCCGTATTGCGTGCCACTGTCGCATTCCCTCCCGCCGTGCTGCACGCCATGCTGCGAGCGGGCAGCGGCGGGGACATGCTCCATGGGGCCGGCAGTGCTGGGTTCGCCATACTGCGTTGGCTCTCATGTCTCGTGGCCTGCGCGGGCATGCTGTCCCTGGCCGCCGCACCCGTGGCCACCATCTTTGCTGAGACGGCGGTCCCTGTCATCGAGGTCGGCTGGTGGTGCTGCTGGGCTGCTTCACTTGCTGGGCTGCTTCACTTGGCCTGGCACGTGTGGGTGTCAGGCGCCATGCAGGCCACCTTTGCTGCACTCGTAGCCTTGCTCGGCAGGCTGCACGCGCACCCTCCAGCGGCGCCGGCACTGCCCGCTGGCACTGCTGCTGCCGCCGAGGCGCCTGGCTCTGTTATGCTGCCCGCCGCGACAGCTGCAGGCGTGGCTTCTGCGCCAGTGGCGGCCCCTTCAGGCTGCGACGCAGCTGGCAGCGGCCAGCGGTGCCTGCTCGTGTCGACATCGCTGGCCCCCGCGCCGCCCAGCGCTGGGCCTGCGCACGGCGTCGGCGTCGCCGCCAGCCGATTGGCCCCCCATACTGCAGGCATCGACCTGGGGGTGCTGCAGCAGCTGCTGCACCAGCACCAGCGCGGCGCCCCGGGCGCTGCGCGGTCCACACAGGGCGCGGCCGTGCGCAGCTCGCTCTATGTGTCCTCAAAGAGGCGTGTCTTTGTTGGAGCCAAGGTGTGGGGCTCAGGGGGTTGAGCTGGAGCTGTCAGCGTGCACCGCGAAGCCTGAGTGCTACTACAAGCGCGTGGTCCAGTGCTTGCGTGTGACGGCCGCCTGCCTGCTGTGATAAGTCCTCGGCGGCCTGTGGCTGCCCCCGGGTAAGCGACCCCTGGGGGATGTGCCTGCTTGTGCAGCTGCAAGGTTTGTCCCCAACACTCCTCACACACCTGCGACCTTTTCGGGTGCGCGACCCCAAGCCCCAAGATGCCCAGGCCTACGCCTCGCACCTCTCCAGGGAGATCACCTCCACACTTGGTGCAGCCATGGTGCAGCAGGCGCCCTCTGCCAACACTAGCACCACTGCGGACCCTGCCAGCCCCGCTGCTGCAGCAGAGCCTGCGCCGTCTCATCTGCCCACACTGGTTCACACAGTCATGCTCGAGGGCTGCGTGCAGGTTGCGGCATGGGCCGCCGGCGCACCTTCGCGCCATGCATGCGGCGAGCGCCCAATGTCGTCCGCCGGCACCCCTCCCGGCCCCGAGAGCGCGCAAAGCTTCGAGCAGGGCGTGCTTGAGAGCTTGTTGGCCGGCAGCAGCCTGCTGCGAGCCGCTGGCCCCGCTACGCTGCAGGCCGGCAACACTGTGGCTGTGGTCGGTGCACGCGCGGGCGCGCCCTCCTTCGCGCCTCTCAGCATGCGCTTGGGTTGTGACGGCGTTGCCCGCGAGGAGGGTGGCTGCGCCGACCTCCAGCTGCTGCACGCGTGGCCCGTGTGCCTGCCCATCTCTGCACCAAGCTCCACGTTGTATGGTGGCGGCGCCCCCACGCAGCCCCCCATCTGCGTGGAGGTCTGCTTTGCGCCTGCCAGAGTCGCCGCAGCAGCAGGCGTGAAGTGGCTGGTAGCACATGCGGTGCTGTCTGACGGCTCAAGGGTGCTCCTGGACGAGCCGCTGGTGCTGGATGCTGCATGCCCTGTTGCCAGGTGTGCTGGTTTGGGGTTTGGGGCTGGGCACCGGTGCAGGCTATGTCAACAAGGGTTTGATGCCGTGAAAAATGTGATGGCTCTGGCCTTGGGCCCAATATCGAGCCTCCCCACCCTTTGCTAACAGCAAGCAAGCCCTGCCGTGCGAGTGCACGCAGCCAGCTTTGTCCTTTGCATGTGAACTGTTGTCCCGCTGCTTTGGAGCGGAACGCTCCCGCATCCAAGCCACATTGGCGGCCAACCTTCCACCCACCCACACGGCCGCGTCCACAGCAACGTCTGTCCTGCCGCTCGCCGCCCTCTTCCTCTCAAAGGGTCCAGCTGCCCTGGCATGCCCAGCTGCAGCAGGGCACCTACACGCTCTTCATCCTCTCAGGCACAACCCCAGCCACCGCCGCTGTTGCTCCCAGCGATGCTGTGGATGCCTCGCGGCTGCCGACGCAGCGCCCCAGCTTCTCGGAGTGGCTCCTCGGCCCGCACAGCGACAGCACAGCCTGTGGCCCCCGCATCAGCAATGGCAGCGTTACAGTGGATAGCGCTGGGGACGGAGGGTGCCTGCGCTTTGGCGCTGTGCAACCCTGGTGCAGCGTGCCGAGGTCGTCGCACCACTGCGACCCCTCCGGCACCGACGGGGCCGGCAGGGCTGCGACGCGCCAGCATCAGCAAGAGGGCGGCGCCGCCAGCAGCGCGCAGGACTCGGCTTGGGCGGCCTCTGTTCCGCCAGAGGGCTGCGTGCTAGCGTCGCTGACGCTGCTCGTGCTGCCGGACGCCGCCAAGGACGAGCTGTGCACGCTGCTGGACAGGATGACGGCGGCCGCGCAGGAGACCGGGCAAGAGGAGGCACCAGCATGCTCGTTTGATGGCGCGGGTCCGTCCACGCCACCGCCCCTGCGGCGGCGCTCGCACGGCGCCGTGGGGTCTACCCCTTGTGGTCACGGGTCTATGGTGCCGCAGCCGCTGCTCCCGGAGCCCCGCGCCACAGCATACCACGAGCACTGGCTGCCGCTGCTCGATGACATCAGCTTTGTGGTCGCGCTGGCGGGCTGCGATGCGGCCGCGCTCAAGGGCATCGGCATACGGGCCGCATGCGAGCTGGCAAGCAGCACCATGGTGGGTGGCCTTGCAGTGGTGCTGCGTGGGTGCCTCACCCGCCCCCAACATGCAGAGGTGCGGTTTCAGGGATGGCTTGAGCCACCTGGGTGCTTTGACCCATGAGCAGCCTTCACTTTCACCGTCCCATGCCAGGATCTAAGCCTCCGGACCCCTCTGATTTCGCACCAAAACCCTCCCTTTCTGTGCCACCTGCCAAGCAGGTCCTGCTCGAGTTCCTTGTCACCAACACCTGCTTTGCCACCACCTCAGTCTTGGTCACCGCAGCCGCCGCCGCGGGCCTGCCTGCCAGCTGGCACGGCCAGCAGCTGCTGGCTGCCGACCGGTGTGACGCCGGCGCTGCAGGGGCCCTGGTCCCCGGCGGCCTTGCTGACGTCGTCGCGGCGGAGCTGGCCCGGGCGGGGCAGGAGCACCAGCAACAGGCGCAGCCCCGGCAGTGCGCATTGCGTGCTGCCGAGATGGAGCCCGCGGCCGAGGGCGTGCAAGCAGCCGGCGCCGGCCAGGGCGGCGGCGGGGACGACGGCAGCCGCGGGCTCAGCACGCCGACCGCGCCCATCATGACGGCCGTGCAGGCCCCTGGTGCTCCAAAGCGAGCCCCCGCTGCGCGCGTCCTCATGGGCGGCTTCCGCAACGCCGGCTGGCCTGCAGGTGGCGCCGCACCCACATCTGATGGCGCCTTTCCCCACGGCCTGATAGGGCTGGCCGCAAGCTCAGAGGGCCTGGCCGCTCCGAGTGTCGTGCTGCTGTCCCGCACGTGCGTGCCCCCCGGCTTCAAGGAGTGCGCCTTTGCCTTCCTGGTCAAGGGAGTCTCTGCCGGGCAAGGGTCGGACTGCATCAGCACGCCCCTCCCCGCAGCCGCCAGCTGCCTGCCTGGCTGCCGCGTCGTGCGGCTCGCGGCGCTGGCGGGCAGCGCCCAGCAGGAGGGCGGCGGCGGCGGTTTCTGGGGCAACACGGGAGAGGATGCAGGGTGCGCCATGCTGCGCCGTGCGGCCTCGCGCACCCCGCACGCATCCGCACAGCCGTTTGCTGGTGCGGCGCTGCCGGGCTACCAGGAGATGCGGTGCACGGTTCTGGTCGAACGCGAGGGCTGCGGTGGGGACGGCGCGGAATCTTGGGCGCTGTCTTGGTGAGTTGGGCAAGGGCGCTGCGGGAAGCGCACTGCACAGTGCGCGCTGTGCAAATGTGTTGCACGAGTTTGCTGCGTTGCTGTAGCGCAGCTGTCAACACAGGGCAGGTTGTCCACAACCCTTGTCTTCTCAAGCCGCTTTTCCCGCGCACTTGCCTTTCACACCCACCGCAGGGCGCACATCGCCGCTGGCAGCCCTTCAACCCCGCCCCCGCCTTCGGTTGCCGCGTCATTCGCGGCCATGGCTGACGGCACGGTGCTGTTCAACGAGGTCCGCTGCACGCTGCTTGTGAAAGAGGGGACCATCCAGCTCGCGGGGGCTGCCGCCGCCGCCGCCGGGCCCCCCACCAACAACCCCCAGTGCTCGCAAGGGACGACCTGCGGTGCCGGCCGCGCGCCGCGCGGCAGCGGTCGTCAGGCTGCCCGCCGCCGCTCCTCTGGCCGCGATGCTGCTCGCCGCCGATCCTCCGCTTCCGCCGTGGAGCATACGCGCGACGGGGCCTCCACGTGCGCTGGCCCCCTCCCCTGCCGCCGCCCCGCCGCCCCTTCCTGCGCCGTCGCCGCCGCGACTGTTTGGGGCTGCTGCTCAAGCCCCAGCTGCAGCTGCAGGACGGCCGCCTGCCCGCCTCTGGCAGCGCTGGGGCTGCACGAGCGCCGCGTGTCACTGCTTGTCGCAGCTCCTGCTCTGAGCCTCTCCCCCGACCCGGCGCTGGCGGCGGTGGTGCCGGGCTTTCAGGAGGTGTGGGTGACGCTGCTGGCGCGAGTGTAGATGTCGCCTTTCTGGGTTCAGCACCCCTGGCCCGCTCGGTGCATTTGAAGTGCATGCAGGCCCAAGATGTTCGGCGCTGTTGTCCCCCACCACTCCCTCGCACGCGGCTTGGGAACCGCCCCCTAATGTCACCAGGGCGTCACATGCCCGCAACTCATTTGGCGCATTTGCCGCCGCGGTGAGGAGCGGCGCAGGCTAGGGCGCGCAGTCTGCTGCTGCGCATCCCCGCTTGCTTGCAGTGGCCTTTAGAGTTCAGCAGTTTACAAGACAGTGCGTGCTCCACCAAAAACTTGGAGCGGAACCCTTTTGGCCTTTGCGGCCAGAAACCCTGCTTGCAGGACTTGTGTGTGGCAAGCCCTTTTGCTGGATGCGGAACCGGCTGCCTTGGTGACAAGATTGCTGAAAACACATAATGACGCATGTGCTTGGTATCCTAGCAGGCAACCCTTTTGCCCTTTCCCCACAACCTGTGTACCGCTTGCCCAAAGGCCGAATGTTTGTGCAGCCTCGACCAGAAGGTGTGCAGCGCACATGCCCGTTCTCAAACGTTTGTGTGGCTGTGTGACGTTTGTCCCCCCGGCACCTGATGAATGGCTGAGGGAGGATCTGATGCTTGAGCGCTTCGCATGCACGCCGTCACTCTCCTGAGAGTGATGCATAGACGGGGTTTTGCCCGTGGACCTCATTGCTGTGAGGCGCCCAGTCGAATGAAAGACTGTTCGTGCTTCAGTGTTTTGTGTCACGAATGCCGAATCAAAAAGTGGTAGACACGGCTGATCGCCCATCTCCTCACCATAGCTGGATGTCCCGACCAGCGCCTGCGGCCAACCCATTGTGTGGCCACGGGAATCCCACCCTCACCTCTCCCACCAGCTGATGCATCACCTTTGCTGCGTCACATGCCATGTGCCTGTCTCCTTGTGTGGATATGCATGCAGGGTTTTGCTTATGGACGGCCTTGTGTGTTGAAGGCACCTGGACGCTTGCCCATCTTGCGGCAGCAGTCCGCCTTGACTCTCTCGTCCACGCATGCCTTATATACAAAGTGGTAGAATCTGGCTGTGACAGCTTGAATAGCTTTGACTAGCCTTGCCGGATGTACCGTATGCAAATCGTGCCTCGCTTGCCGGTCGTGCTTGGAAAAAGCCTTCCCCTTTGCTGTGTGCATGGATCCGGGCCGATGCCCCAGCCGTTGCTGCCTCGCTTGATTGCGCAAGGCAGCAAGCTTGTTTGTTTTGAAGCCTTCCTGCCCAGCGTTCGGCTTTCACGCAGTGTTTCATGAATACGTAGAATTTTGTTGGCCAACAGCAGGCGCATTGAGGAAAAGGCACCAGCACGGGCAACAAAAAGTTTTAACACATTCGCCCGCACATACATCCCCCAGCAGGCGTTTGAGAGGCCCCCGTGCACGTGCACGTGCCTGTTGTGGGCACTACTCGTGTGACTGGTACTCGCAGTACTGGTCATATCTTGTGCCCGTCTCGTGGCCGACTGTCATGACGGCAGCTGTGCAGCTTGCCACTATCCACAACAAGTGTCTCCCCGCATACGCCCGAGAGTTGTCACCCCGCTGCGTTTGTAAAGTTGCTTATCTGATCCACCTTCTCATCACAACATCGTGCAAGGGCACCCGCAGAATCTCATGACCAGCTGAGGTGCACGCAAGGGAAGGCGTGCGATTTCCTGCAGCCTTGGGAAGGAATCACTGGACTACGGTGAGTGTCAGACCAGTGCGCCCCGCCCGTGTGCGCATGACTGATGTCTACACAGTTGCTGCACGACCCAAGCGAACATACTTAGCGCATCAAACACACGCAGCGCTCTCTCGAAGTTGATAGCCGCCCGCGGACGCCACTCTGAAGCAGGGCTGACAGCAGCGTGCGGCACTCAGCAACGCACAGATAGTAAACTAGCCGTCGCCACACCAACCTGCCACGGCTGGAACACAGGGTGCGGATGCAACTGGGGTTGATCTACAAGACAGCGGGAGACCCTGCATCGCTGGCTCCCACGTCACCCCACGCGGCATCAGATCACAGTTTGATATGGCCAGTTACCAGCACCTGAGAAGATCAATTCTTACTATAAAAGATGCTTATTGCAGGCAAACGTGCTGGCAACATCAACGCATGCAGCCCGTCCAATCACGATCCTAGCAGCAAACGCTCGGGTGTGCCGATGGCACTATTGGACAACGAGAAACACGGCAGCAAAAAACACAAAAGCAGATCTTAAGATGCAGCGGCAGCGGCGGTAAGTGCTGGGCACCCGCACCACGCCGTGCACGCTGTGCTGCCCGCATCGCCGAGCGCTGCTCAGCAGCCAGCTATGTCACTGACCGCAACCAGCCCGGGTGATCCGCCATACTTGGAAAGGGCAGAACAGCCTGGCGGAGGCAGCAGGGCGGCAGCGGCAGCAACAACAATGGATCCCTTGAGTGCATGCGTTGCGGTCACTGCCAAGCCTGCAGAGGCTGCCGCATTCGCCGAGGCAAAGGACAGGGTTAAGGCTGCTGACGCTGCTTCTACGGCTACATTTGCTGCTGCCCCTGCCACCGCCGCCGCACCTGAAGTTGGGGTGACGGTGCCGCCGCTGACAGATGCTGACCTGGCGGCAGTGTGCACAGCAAGCGACCGGCAGTCCTCATTCCGGCCGAGGGGCTTGTATGCAACCGACATCACTGGGTCAGAGTGGTGCCAGGTGATTTCCAACAAATCTGCATCCCGTTTTTTTGCTGTGTGCGAGCGCCACGGTTCTGGGGGCTCCGCTTGTGACGGCCACGGAATGGCACCCTTGACAACTCCCGCCGAGCACCCTGGTTCGCTCTCTGTGTGCGCCTAAACAGACGGTATCACAACCTCATAACTAACACGCAGATGCAAGTCGCGTTTGCACTGCAGCGGCCCGACACCAAGCGCCGCAGCGCTGCGATGCGCAGCGGCTCGTCGCGGCACAGGTGCATGGTTGCCGCCGAAACAGGCCTCACCCGCAGACATCTTGCCAACTGCCGACCGCTGGAAGCAGCCTGACTGACAAGCTGTCACGCTCACACGCGCAACCTCATTCGCAACCATGCATCACGTGTCCAGGCAGCTGGAGAATGAGATGGGCGTGGAAGAGATAGAGGTCGAAGCTGAGACCGACGAGGATCTGGCGGCGGTCAAACTGGTCAACACGGCAGCGGGCATCACCCAATTGCTGTCTGCGGATTGCGTGACCCGGGAAGTATTTCTCTTCGGCTGGCTGGGAGGAGGGGCGGAACCTGAAGCATACGCGCAGGACCATCGTCATCGTCATCATCAACATCAGCAGCAGCAGCAGCAGCAGCAGCAGCAGCAGCAGCAGCAGCAGCAGCAGCAGCAGCAGCAGCAGCAGCAGCAGCAGGGTCAGCAGCAGGGTCAGCAGCAGCTTCCAGACGTGTTTGTCACTGGAATTGCTGACGAGCTGCGGCTGCAGGCCAGTCGCGTCGACGGCACCTGGCAAGTGGCCGTTGTAGAGCGCAAGACCCGAGCCTCGCGCGGCGCGCCGCGCGCCGAGCAGATCGCGCCCGCGCGGCTGCAGGCCATGCTGTACCTTCAGCTGCTGCGGGGTGTGCGCGCCGCGAGCGCCCCTGGCGCGCTCCACAGGTTTTGCGGGGCGATGGGCGGGCTCGACCCGGGGGCGCGGCTGTCGTCGCGCGTGGCGGCGGAGGCGGCGGCGATGTTCGGCTGCACGCCGGCCGGTGCCAGCGCCGCCGATCCCGGCGGGAGCGGCGGCGTCTGCGGCGACAAGGGGGCTGTCGCGATGACGCTGGCTGATGCGATGGGCCTCGTGCATGCAGCGGCGACGCGTTTGCCGCCCATCAGCGAGCAGCTCGTGGTGATCTGGGAGGTGGGCCAGCCGTGTCTGGCAGCTTGGCGTCCTGGGCTCTGGTTGGGGCTGTTGGGAGAAGAGATGTAAGAAATGAGTCAAAGCTGAATCTGCTAGCCTTGTTGCTGCACACGTGGCATGCATGGACGGCGGACAACACACACACACACACACACACACACACACGCACACACACACACACACCCAGGCCCAAGGTGACGCGTCCCTCATCTGGGAGGACCGATTCCAACACCACCCCCGCTGGCTAGCCAGCCGCCTCGCGGCGCACACGGCCTTCTGGCGGGGCGCCGCGCCGCCCCTCAAGGTGCTACCGGAGCAGGCTGACTACAAGTGTGGGTGGTGCCCCTATCAGGCGCCCTGCGGCGGCCTGGCGTGCGGGCGGCACCAAGAGAGCGAGGAGCTCTTCTGAGCAGGGCCGGCAATCTAGCGAGCCGGCTTTCGGTCGGCTCTGCATCGCCTGTGCTGCGTGTGCTGTCATGTCACACTTGCTGTCGCCGCCTCTGTGCTGTGTCATGCTGCTGCTGGCCCATCGCATGAGGGGCTCAAGTAATCAACTTGCAATTTTACTTATCATCTGCTCGCGACGAAGGGGAGTTGCACAGTTCAATTCACGTGGAGGAATGGGGGCGTGTGCAGCCCGGGCTGTGCTTGCGCCCTGCACCATGCTGAACGTTGCACCCAACAGCCCCTGCGCAAGCCCACCAACAAAGACCGTGGCTCGAGATTGCGGCCTATCCCAGTGAACATGCGCGCATGAGAAAGCAAGTGCTGATAGTGTGTGTGGGGGCCATTGCAGGGGCACGGACTGCTCAGCAACCCGGCCACGCTGCGTGCCAGAAAGAAAATGAGATGCCGCAGGACGCCTGCGCATCTGGGCATGCACAAGCAGAGGTTCGCGTTGGTTTGAAAAATGTGTGAGGGCCCGCATGAGAGACAACATAAGAGCGCAATCACCCAAGTGCCCCTCCGCATGCACACACGGGGGTGGGTGCCACCCTCGGGCACGTGTCCACTGGGTCGGCAGGGGCCACCGGAGGAGGCAAGACATCAACATGCGCCACGAAAGGTGTGTGCGCCGCACCAGCAGCCGTGCAGAACGGATGGGTGCTGCTAACAATGTTGTGCTAAAAGCACGGCTAGCAAGCGGCACCCTTGGCCATTCGAGTCAAGCCAGGGTGGGGCAAGCCCGCCCCGCATGCTTGCCCTGGTTCTGCCGCTGACCGACTCCACCGTCTGTCTGCAGGGCCGCCTGCGGCCCAGCAGTGGCTGCCCTCGACCTGGCCTCGGGCCAGGCACGCGCGCCCCTGCCGCCAACAGCGGGCACCTTGACGACGAGCAACCGCCTGTCCGCGCCGCGAGCGCCCTGGCGCTGAGCCGGCGGGCAGCAGGCCTGCGCCACGGGCCCCCCCTTTCAGCAGTCTTCGGACCCCCATTCGACCGCACACGACGGCGCCCCGCCGCCGCCGAATCGGACAGGAGATCTGCCCAGATCACCAGGGCTTCTTCTCGTAGGCCAGCATGTCGTGCACGCCGCCCTCCGCCTGCGCGGCGGCGCTGCGGCACTCGAGGCGCAGGGCGCCGCTGGTCAGCAGGTGCCTGACGTCGGCCATGTCCTTGGCTCCCAGGTCCTGCGGAGAGGTGCGAGGGCGGGGAGATGCGTGCATGTTTGTGTGCATGCATTCTTGTATGTGCAGCTTTTTGTGTGTGTGTGTGTGTGTGTGTGTGTGTGTGTGTGTGTGTGTGTGTGTGTGTGTGTGTGCGCGCGC